TGTGTGTGTGTGTGTGTGTGTGAAAGTGAGTGTGTGTATTTGTCATTGAAGACAAAGGCGACGAGGAGGTGCTGACAGTTCAGAGAACTCCTCTGTTTGTTCACGAATTATTTCCACCCAGGACTTTGTCAATGTCAAACTCCTGGGTCAGGGGCCACTTATGGCCTGTAAACCTCCCAAAATCCGGCCCATGTCAATAATTTCATTTGATAATTTTCATTTTTTAAATGTGATTTGTTTTGTTCATTAATTTTACTCATTTGTTTAAAAAAAACTTTTTTGACTTAAACTAAACATTTAATTAATACAAATGTAATTTTAAAATTTTCTATTGACAGCATTCAGACTAAGTCACAGTTTAGTTAAGAGACTAAGACAATACGACATTACGACAATATTTTCACTCAGTATTTGACACTAAAATGAACCACAGTCCATGAACGCGTGACAGAAAAGCTGACTGTGAGTTTCTCCACTGGAGGGCGTCACTGACTCTGACTTTCCGCACGACATCATCAACAAGAGGTCTCTTCATATTACAATGCCTGCTGCCACTCGGTGTAAAAGGTTAAAGAACGCAGTCGGAGTTGTCAAACAAAAGCTGAATACAGAAAATGAAAGACAGATAAGAGAGAGGGGGAGGAGGGGTGAGGGAGAGAGAGAGGGGGGAGGGGTGAGGGAGAAACAGAGCTTTGTCTTTTCAAACAAGCAGAACATGTTTAGTCCAAGCAGAGGTTGCTAGATGTGGGAAATGTTTCAATATTCCAGTGTTTCCCAAAAGCCAAGATGTCATGGAAGAAGTGTCTCTTTAATTTGGCAACAAACAAACGTTCCAGTGTGGAGGCAGAACAGCTCCCTCTGTGTCACCGAGGAGAACCGCGCAGATACAAGTCGGGACATGAAACCAGGGAAAGTAAAGATAAGTCTGAGAACCCTGTTGTACCCTGGGTCACCTCCAGGGGTCTCTGTCTTTTTCCGTCATGTCACCAAATTCAGAAAAAAGAAACCTGACGTCACTGAAAACTTTCTGAGAAAAGTGAAACCAAAATCAGTGTCGTCACGTTCACTGTAAATTCAGAAATAAAAGGAGGAAGTGAATCGCTGAACAAAGCACTTCGACCACTGGTATGAACCTGCTGATGTGACACAATGAATTCTGGGAAGTACCAGGAAGTTCAGTAAATAGAATTCTCATTAAAGGTGTGGAAACCTGGCTGAAAAATTGCATGAACAAAACAAAAGAAAAAAAACCAAAACAAAACAAAAACACCTCAACATCTATTTTGGTCCAGTTATTCTCACCAACTTATAACTGAATATTTTATCATTTAACTCTAGGTGTCAGTAAACGCACCACTGACACACGGTGCCTCTAAATAAAGTCTTCTCCTTTGGACTTTGTGCTCATTGTGAAAAGTTCGATGTATTTTGTTGTTGGTCAGATAAACAGCACTCTCCTGTCTGAGTATTTCAGGATGTGGAGAGTTTGAAAAGGTCAAATGTCGTAGCCGTAACGTAAACATTTGTCGTTTCCGTCATCAGACGTCAACACCCCGGAGGACCTCCCTGGGACCAGGTGGAGTCCAAGGCCAATCCAACCAACGGGTCATGTACTGTTGTTATCTTCACCTAAAACCTACAGGTCAGTGATTCTCAACTGGTGGCCCGTGGGCCGAATCTGGCCGGCCGAACCTTCCAAAGCGGCCCGTGACTGAATTTGAAATTTTTTTTAAGTCTCAAAGAGAAAAGATCATGTGATCTCCGCTAGTTAAATAATATTAATAATTAACATGGAATTTTTGCCCCTTAAATCTTGTACTTTATTCTTATTTATTTTCAACCAAAACAATCCTCACACAGACTGACCAATGACTGACGATCGGTCAAATCTTCACTACGGTCCAACACTGGAGGAGACAGTAGGAAATGAAACAGACGGTCGGGGAGGTGGGGTTGGGGGCGTTGTATTTGTCGGACCCTTGCATGTGCAGCTGACTCTGACCCAGTTTAGTTTAAAGGAAGTGAGCGGGAGTCACCAGAGTGAGCAGCTGGAACACATGACTCAGCAGAGTCAGCTGGCAGCCAGTGAGTAAACACTAACTCAGGACGACTGGATCCAGGATCTTGGTCTCTGTGCGAAGAGAATTTCTATTCACCCCGCCTTCACTGAATATACAGTTCTGAAGGCTGGGCTGGATTTGGAGTTGGACGAGAAATATTAGTGACGAGGAAAGTGTTTCCAAAGAAGAAAGAAGAAGAAAGAAGAAAAGCCCTGGGAATGTCGAAGAAGAAAAAAGAAAGAAGAAAAGCCCTGGGAACGTTGGTTTCTGGAGTTTTGGTTTCTTTTTTGTAAATACTGATCATTTTACAACAAGCAGTGACACGAAACATCAGGATTTGTTGGTGTAACTGAATAGATTTTCATCTAAAGTACAACAACAATGGTTTACTTTTCCAGGGGAGTTCATGCGTATTTTACCCCTCACGTCTTCACTCTGTCGTTTAGTCGGTTTGTTTTTTTGTAATTTAATTTGAAGAAACGTTGATCCAACAAACACTAAAGTAATTATAATATACAATATAATTATTTTTTTAACCAAACAAGCAAACTAAATAAATAATTTATATTATGTTCAAGGATTTAAAAAACAAAACAAAAAGTTGCCATAGTGAATAAAAAAGTTAATATCCACAGACCAAGTCCAGAAGTCTTAGAATAAATATAATTAACTAAGTAAATATATAAATATATATATGTTGTTGTTGATATCAATATTGTTATGGTTTAATAATAATAATAATAATAATAATAATAATAACAATAATAATAATCACGTCGTGACCCCTGACCTGTGCTCCTCACCTTGCTGGCCTCCTGTATGAGCCTCCTCACCACCTCCTTGATGTGCGGTCCATTCTCCTTTGGCGGGTGCGTGTGCACGGCCACACGCGTCACTCCCTTGAACAAACCCCCGCTGGGCCAGCCGATGTCCAGCTGCGGGACCTCCGTGTCCGACATCTGGGGCCAGTAGGTGGAGTGAACCCCGGAGTCCACGTCCCCCCGGTCCTCGGCTTTGCTGCGGCCGGTGTCTGCCTCTGAGTCGTAGTTCCTGAAGGAGCTCGTCAACACCTTGACTTCTCTGGCGGACAGAAAGTCTGTCATTTTGTCATCTTTCAGGCGGGTCTTGAACGCACCATCGCCGTTCTTCAGCAGCTCCTCCAGGGCGGCTCGCTGCTCCTCGCTGTAGTAAAACTCCGGTTTGGACTCCGGCACCTTGACTCCGATGTGTCCGTCCTCCATACACACGAGCTGGGACTCGGCCATGGCTGCGGCTCTTCCTCGGCCTCCCGCAGCTCAGCCTGTTTGACAGGAGCTGCTTCAGCTCGTACAGGTATGACACCGGGCAGGTAAGGTAAACCTCTGAAAGTTTATGACTCCGCCAAGAGGGAGGGTGTGTGTGAGGAGGGGGGCAGAGGAGGGAGGGAGGGGAGGTGCCCTCGTGTACACTAGTTGGTAGCCACGCCCCCTAAAGATTTTATCTTTTTATTTACAAACGACAACAACGTTTATAATGAAGGTCAATAATCGCAGCGTTTCCGGACCTCCTCGAATGTCACACACGACTACGTCACACCACGTGATCATCACCATAAACTAATTTCAAATACTGTAGTCAAAATGGTAAAGAAAATGGTATAAATATTTTCTCTACATTTTTACAAATCGATTGATGTCGATGTTGTACTTTGGGTTTTGTTTTACTCCGGTAAAAAATATATAATTTTACTCAGATTTAAGAGAATATTGTCAGATATTAAAAATAGTTTGTTGTTTGTTGTGAATGTTTTCTTTCACTGTATTCGTTCGGTTAGAGTTTGACGTTTTTCCGCCACAATGATTGTGAAATTATCTCAATTCTTTTCTTTGACCGTGAGAATCCACACGTTATTTACAAAAGTTTTTGAACTTAGTTAAATTACTAACACTAATACAGTATATTTTATATCCGGATACAAATGCATGCTGTAATGTTTCTATTTTTCCAGCAGGGGGTGCTGTTGTGCCGAGAGCCGTGTTTCTTTCCTTTTCTCACTCCTTCAGTTTTAACGACTTAAACCACGTGCTGTTCTCATTGAAACCAGTTTCTCATTCACTTGTTAAATATCTTCTGGGAAAATCATGGTTTTATCTTCAACTCTTCACTCAGGCACGTGTTAAACCTTTGAAGTTGTTTCTCATTCACTTGTTAAATATCTTCGGGGAAAATCTCGGGTTTATCTTCAACTCTTCACGTCAGGCACAGCTTTGAAGTGTGTTGTGCACAGATCAGATTAGATCAGATCAAATGCGATGACATTACTCCAGATGAGATTAGATTAGATTAGCAGTAGAACAGACAGATGTGAATTAGAAAAGATTCAAATGAATTTAAATGCTTGAATTTATTTATTGGATTAAATGAGATTGGATCAAGCGAAGATTTAAGATTAAGAAAACTTTGTGACGTCAGTGACGTCTCCTCTCTAACCTCTCTGTCTCACCCAAAACATCTTCCCCCCTCAGTCCTGGCCGTTGGTCTTGGTTCTGAACCTCACCACGGTTCACTGTGGTTTTCAATGAGGAGCTGATCATGAAACTGATTGAGGGGGAAAAAAAAACATGGAGAGTCTGACCAATCAGCATTCCCAACAAGGAAGCTGATGATGAATGGACGTGTGTGTTTGGCCCCCCCTTGTGTTTCTGCCTTTATTTATTTTTTTATGTTTTTGCCTCCTGATAGCTGTTGCCAAGGTGACCCCCAGCTGTATGGGCATCAATTGTTATGCAGCATCAGGAAAACTAAAAATAAATCCAGGAGAAGGCAGTCAAATTTGATATTGTCGTCAGCGACCGTGCCTAACGACCGGAGCTCGTAATTATTCTCATCCAGCTTCATGTCGGAGCTCATGGAAACGAGCGGCCTACGGCTGAACGCAGCACAGTACGTAAGAGTTAGCTTTTTGTTTTTAAATGTTCTTCTTCTTCTTTGGTGTCAGCAGAAGGTCACGGAGGAAAAGACGACAGAAGCAGGAGGAGAGCGATGTCTGAAGAATATCCTGTGAACGAACGTCACATTCCATTCTGTTCGTCTGACACCGTTCTGCTCACGTCTCACAAATCTGTGTTCAAGGAGTCGGAATTCGAGGGGAAGGAGCGGGAGCAGGGGTTCAAAAGAATGTGAGTTCTCATTCTGAAATAAATGTTTAAGGTCGAGTAAATACACAAACAAACAAACCTAAAGATTTAGTTTCAACACTGAAATATTTATTCCTGTTTCTCACCGTCAGGAAACGTCTTCACTTCAAGGTCAGGTGTGAAACGGAAGAAGTTGATTTTTTCTTTTGACACTTTCCCCAAATAAACAATTCTTCAAATTTTAAAGTATTAATTTGGAAAAGTAAAGAAAAACATTTATAAACGCATCATCATTGACAATTTTTTTCAGATTTATACAACACCTACAGTAAAACACAGCCTTTCAGTTCATTTTATATTTATTGAAACCCAACCTGAAGAAGTATTGATGACAAATATCTGAAAACACTCATAACGTTATGTGAAAAGATGGAATCGGGGACAACCCTAAAGTTTGACCTTTGACCTTTGGTCTTTTTGAAACAATCTTAAATGTGATTTAATATGTTTAATACGACAGAATTATATTTTTACCTCAATGGAATAAAAACTTTAGATTTTTGTCGAGGAAACGGCACAGATTCTAGAACCTACCACCGTCTGTGTCCTTCGGATTTTTTTTTCTTTTTTTGATACATTTAAACTCAGACGTCCTAAGACAACGGTTTAGCTCCGCCCCCTCCGATGGCCGACCCTCACCCCACCTCAGAATGGACCCCAGTCACATGACAACTTTGCCTGGAAAATCAATAAAACTACAGGTATTTCTTGTCACCCCCCCCTCCTCCCCCCCGACCCCGCAGCACTTAGTGCTTTGGCCTTGATCCAGATGTAATGATGGATGGAGGAGCTCATCCGTCCGTGTCCCAGTCCGTCCTCACCGCTGCGTCTCATACATCACAG